TTTCGAGTCGTGTTCAACGCGTCAGCGCCAACGAGTACTGGCGCTTCCCTCAACGACATTCAGCTGGTGGGCCCGACCATTCAGGACTCACTTGTAAACATACTGTTACGATTTCGCAGATACCGAGTGGCGATTATCGCTGACATTGAGAAGATGTTTCGGCAGGTGGTGGTTACCTCCGAACATCAGGATCTCCAGAGGATCATATGGCGAGAGTCACCGGCAGACAATATCGGTGTTTATCGTTTGAAGACAGTCACTTATGGGATGGCGAGCAGCCCTTACAACGCCGTACGTGCCCTTCAACAGTGTGCGGTCGATAACTGCAGTGTAATTCGAGACGAGGATCAGGCTTCTCTTGCTCGAGATGCAATCTTGACTTCGTTCTATGTTGATGACTTTTTGACAAGCTGTGCGAATGCCAGTGAAGGAATAGAACTGGCGAGGAGCGCAGATGCTCTTCTATCTGCGGGAAAGTTTAGGCTGAGCAAATGGAACTCAAACGATAATCAGGTAACGATGTGTTTGTCGAGTAACGCCTCTATTTCCAGTTATACATTCAACTCCGGCGAGACTTCGGTCCTGGGCCTTAAATGGGATTCGGTGACTGATGAGTTGTTCTACCGCGTTGAGATTGAGCCGACAATAGATGTTCCTACCAAGAGAAGCGTGCTTAGGGATGTCGCTCGACTCTTCGACCCTACTGGTTTGCTATCCCCCGTAGTAATAACGGGGAAGGTTTTCATTCAGAAGATGTGGTCTGTGGGGTTGTCGTGGGACACTCCATTACCCGACGACCTTCGTGAGGAATGGCTGAGGTATCGTTCCAAGCTTAAGTTTCTGAATCAAGTTCGAATCGAGCGGTGGTTGGGTATGGTGCGACATGGCCGGACCACGTTACTTGGGTTCTGCGATGCCAGCTCATATGCATACGCGGCCGTGATCTACATAAGGACAATAGACGATTCCCACGCAACGCCGCTCTCGCTCCTTACTGCATGCACGAAAGTGGCTCCACTCAAAGGCTCAACCATACCACGACTTGAACTCTCGGCAGCAGTGTTGTTAGCGGAAACCCTCCGGCATGTGCAATCGGCCCTGAGCTTGTCCGAAGCTCCATACTTTCTGTGGTCGGACTCTGCAATTGTATTATGCTGGGTTAAGAAGCAACCATCAACCTTGAAACCATTTATATCAAACCGTGTTCGCAGGATTCAAGAGTTGACATCTCCAGATCGATGGCGTCACATCCGTTCGGTGCAGAATCCCGCTGATTGTGCTAGCAGGGGCATAACACCGCAAGAGCTGCTACATCACCCACTTTGGTGGCATGGACCCGGTGAGCTAGATAGCTCCGCGCTATATAGTACGGACATACCCCTCAGCCCGGACGAGTCAAAGGTACTTCACGCTTAGGAGCGAACAGTATCGTGCCTGGTCGGAGTGCATCTGGTCCGACCATTGGAAACGCGCAGGCCAGATGGCCATGTCATCTCGTTGACTGAACGCTTCAGTTCCATGCAGCCGTTACTAAGGACGGTGGCCGTCCTGCTACGATGGTTACCGAGACGTCGACACTTTCGTCAACCTGTTGTAAGTGCACGGGAGTTAGATGATGCACTTGACATTTTGATCCGGTTGGAGCAAGCAAGTAATTTCGCGTCCGAAATTAAGCAGCTGAAGGCCGGCTCAGGTTTGTCATCTTCAAGTAAGATTCTCTCATTAAATCCCTTCTTAGATGAGCACCTGATCCTACGTGTTGGAGGTCGTCTCCACAAGGCGGAAGTTGAGCACGATCAGCGATTCCCGATGATCTTGCCGAGATCCAGTCCTCTCGTGCACCTCTTAATCCGACAAGCTCATGAAACAACGCTACATGGAGGAGCACAGCTGACGCTGTATACACTTCGTCGCCGTTTTTGGATTTTAAACGCAAGACAAGCTGTCAAGTCCTTTGTACACCACTGCGTCGTATGTCGACGTCACCGAGGGGTGCTCCTCAAGCAGCAAATGGCTTCGTTACCCGGGCAGCGAGTTAAACCTGCAAGACCATTTGTATCCGCTGGGGTGGATTATTGTGGCCCTTCCACTCTACGTGTTGGCACAAAACGCTCTCGCACTCTCGTGAAGACATACTTGGCTATTTTTGTATGCATGGCGACTAGAGCCGTTCACATCGAGGTGGTGGATGATCTGTCTGCGTAAGCCTTCCTTGACGCTTTTACACGCTTTACCAGTCGGCGGGGTCCTTGCCGCGACTTATACAGCGATAACGGCACGGCATTTGTGGGTGCGAATCGAATGCTCCAGGAAGACATGGCGGCATGGAACAATGAGAACAATCAACGGTCGTTAGCGAGCATGGGCACCCAGTGGCATTTCATCACTCCTAGTGCACCACACCAGGGTGGTCTCTGGGAGGCTGCGGTTAAGTCTGCCAAGCATCATCTGGTCCGCTTTGTGGGTTCTCAGACAATGTGGTACACCCAATTGCAGACCCTGGCCGCGCGTATAGAAGCGTGTCTCAATTCTCGTCCGATCACTCCACTGTACGATGACCCAGACGAGAAGTTTGCATTGACACCAGGGCACTTTCTCATCGGAGCAGCGCTTTTAGCTGTGCCGGAGCCAGACATACGCGAGATTCCCACCAATCGCTTGAAGCAGTGGCAGTGGGTACGACAAGTCCACCAGGAGTTTTGGCAGCGTTGGAGCTCCGAGTATTTGATCACGCTCCAGAGGCGCAATAAGTGGCAGCGACGCGTCACGGATATCCGAGTCAACGATGTGGTGTTGGTGCGGCATGAGAATCTACCACCAACCCAGTGGCGTCTTGGTCGTGTGGTGGCAGTACATCACGGAGACGACGGAGCCGTCCGAAATGTCACTTTGAAGACTGCGAGTGGATGCATCACCCGAGCTGTTCAAAAGCTATGTTGCCTGCTTGAACAAGATGATTTCGAGTCAGCCGACTCGACCGGGCGGGATGTTTAGAGTTAAGTGTGAACTCATTGTAATGTTTTCTTAACTATCAACCTTGTACTCTATGGCTACCCTAGCTTATCGATAACTATGTATCTACTTTGACATTTCTATTGTTTGCCAAGAATCCATTTGCATTAGTACGGTTTTTTTGTAATATTCATTTTGCTATGTAACCGCGAAACCATCTTGTATACAGCCTCTTTTGCGACAATATCTGCAGCAATAAACGTGCGATTTCTAGAGGACATCGTTGGAGTCTTTTATTTAACACTAACAAAATCATTGATTTAAAGGAAAAGAACTACCTGACCTGCAAAACGGCCAATCCCCCTCGAATTTACAGATTGCCAAAAATCCATAAAGAAGGAGTTCCCCTGAGACCTATATGTTCGTCCGTCAATTCACCGTCTTACAACTTATGCAAATATATTGTCCGCGTACTCAAAAATATAACAATGTCCTCAAAGTATAACGTTAAAGATGCGATCGAGTTCAAAAACAAGATTGGAAATACCCATATTTATGACGATGAAAGTTTGGTGTCTTTTGATGTCGTATCGTTATTCCCGAGCATCCCCGTAGACTTAGCAATAGACATCATAGATTCGAAATGGAGTGTGATACAAGAGCATACGTCATTAACTAGAGAGCTTTTCTTAACCATATTAAAGTACTGCATTAAAGAGAACCGCTACTTCAAATACAATGATAAGATTTATGAGCAGAAGTCAGGAATGCCTATGGGTTCACCTGCTTCACCTGTCATAGCGGATATAGTTGTGGAAGAACTTTTAAATAAATTCGAAAAATATTCGGACAGCAAACCACGGCTACTTAAAAAATAGGTTGATGATTTATTTGCGATTGTAAAAACTGAAAACATAGACAAGATGCTCAACACTTTAAACAATTTTAACAAAACTTTAAAATTCACAATAGAAATAGAAAATGAAGGACAACTACCATACTTGGACACTCTAATAATAAGAAACCTACAGCATCAGGGAGGCTCATAAATTTCAATTCTAACCACGAGAGGACAATAATAAATACGGCTACCAACTTCATCCGTAGAGTACTCACCATAAGTGATAAGATATACCACAAGAAAAATATTGGCATTATCAAAGAAATCCTGGAGAAAAACGAATTTCCTCATGGCTTAATTAACAAACTCATCCGCGATTACTATATCAAGTCCAATAAAGATAAATCAAATGAGAAGAAAATTTATACATCGGCAACATATGTTCCAGGATTATCAGAGAGGATTAAGCACTCTAAAATGTTTGACAGAGAAAAATTTCACATAGCGTTCACGTATGATAATACTTTAAAACAAATATACATCAACACCAAAGACAAAGTTCCTAAAAATGAGAAATTTGACGTAATCTACAGAATACCATGGAATGGTGACGGGTCCCACGTATATGTGGGGACAACCAAATCTAAATTGAAGACAAGTATTTCCGCTCATAAATCTAACATAAAATTAAGGACATCTATCGACAATAAGAGAGCCTTAACATCTCACTGCCAAAATATGGGACACTATCCCGATTTTGACAACGTAGGAATCTTACAGGAAGAGAGAAATTACAATAAACGTTATACTCTAGAGATGCTACACATCATGAACACCCCTAATAATAGAAGGATGAATTTCAAAACGGACAATTGCGCTCATGTCTATCGCAATTTAATTCTCACTCACAAAAACCAATAACGTAGGTGTCATGTGTTTATGTGTTCATGTTATTGTTCGTCGGTCCGCCACCAGTACTTCGTCCGACAATAACAATGCTATGCCGTGTTGATCTACATACAGATTCTCTCCGTCCTACTGTCCACCACTTCATGTATTGTTGTTTGTATATTTTTTGTTTACATTTACGGTATTTCGACTTGCTTAAATTCTCTTGTTTATGTTTAAGTGTTCTTTGAGTTTGTTTGTTAATATTTTTCTGCACATAGAACTAGTCGATTGGAAAAACTCAATAATGTAAGTTGCGTTTTTGATGTAAGTTTTTTGTAATTTGACGTAAATATGTATGCATTTGGTGTTTTTCAGTCCTGAAGATGCCTTCAGATTGAAGGCGAAATATCGACAGCAATAAATGTAATGAATAAAACTACCAAAATTATAATAAAACGGCCAAATCGAAAAACTAATATCAGCTTATGATATATTGGCGATCCTGCCAGGAGCAATTGAATTGTTAAAAGTTAAAGGATGTGTAATTGTGAAACGGCATCTATCGATTTTAGGTACTAAAGTGGAGGGACGAATGAAAAAGAAATTTCGTTGAAGATGACAAGCTCATCGCAATAAATCCCCGAGAAATTTGCATGCCACCAGCGCTAAGCTAAATAACAAGCACGTGTAGTATGTAGCAACATCAATGGCTATAAAGTAAGAAATTAACGAAAGCAAAATCAAATCAGTAAAGGGGCACTGTGTGCCAGTCACCGGTCAGCAGTCATCACCACGACACAACAACAACAGTCAGGCCTACAGCTACTACAACAACAACGAAAGAAGTTATGTTTAGTCTTGCTGTCGCAGGTAACGAAAGAACACAAATAAATAGTTGTTTTTCATTAAAAAAAAAAAAAAAAAAAAGAGGTTCGTGTCTGAAGTCTTTAGTTTATTCAATCAGCTTTTGTGAATATTTTATAAGTTACTCTTCGACTTTGTTTATTTGTTTTAAAAATCAAAGTTATTAACCAAAAAGGACAAAATTATTTTAAAATCTTTTAACAAATTAATTTATAATTAGTTAGAGATTTATCAACCTATCATTTCAAATATAATTAAATTTAAAAAAAAGAAGGAAAAAATTTATTAAAAGCAACTAGTATAAATAATTGTATATTATATTTATTAAAATTTTTTTTAACTTTTAATAATTTTTTTGTCTATAAATATATACATAAATATTATTTGTGTTAGTTTAAATTATTATTACTTATCTTTATTCTGTACACTTCTTCTCCAGTTTATTTCAAAATGCAAAGATCACCAATACGTACACGCAACTTCACAACAACAACAGAAAATCAACATGAAAATCCAATACACACATCAGATATAAACATTTCACAAAATATACAATCTAATAACTTTCCAAATGAAAATAACTTAAGTGCGAATTTATCAAAATCTGTTAAATTGCCTTCCTTTTTTGAAGATTGTCCTGAAGCATGGTTTCTCCTTGTGGAAGTTAACAATATACGTGATGATAATATCAAATTTCAAAATATTCCAGTTTTTCTTCAAAAAGAATAAATTTCTAAAATTATTGATGTTATTAATCCGCCTCCTTTGATTAACAAATATGAAGCAATTAAGAAAGTTTTATGTGAAAGATTTTCTCTTAGCGAAGAGAAGAGATTAGAACAATTATTTTCAAATACTGAACTAGGTGGTTGTTCACCATCAGAACTTTATAGACATATGAAATCCTTAGCAGGTTCCAAATCAATTCTTAGTAAAGAACTTTTATTTAAATTATGGAGTAGGAAGTTACCGCAACAAATACAAATTCATATAACTTCTTGTAGTAATCATAGTACTGAAGAAATTATTTCTCTTGCAGATAAATTATTTGATTTAATAAATAATCCTCAATCGTCTAAATATTTTAATGTCGCTAGCGTAGAAAATAATAATAATATTCTGGAACAGTGCATTAGACATTTAACTGAGTTAACTACAGCCATTTAACAAAATCTTAACAAAATTACAGAAGATATTAATGAATTACAAATTAGATCAAGATTTAGAGATAGAAGTCGTTCTAAATCAAGTACGTTTTCTAGATCTAGAAACGATATTAACCAAAATATTTGTTGGTATCATAGAAAATTTAAAAATAATACTTTTAAATGCATTCAACCATGTGATTATAACAAAAATAAAAATTACGAAAATTCTAATGTTTTGAACTAGATCGTTCCATTATGGCGGGGGCTAATAATGGAAATGAAGTTAGGCCATCCGCCGCCTATTTATTTATGATAAATCCAATAAATTAAATTTTTTAATCGATACCGGTGCAATCGTTTCGGTCATTCCTTCTTCAAAAATCAAATCACATAAAAGAAATTCAGATCTTAATTTGACTGCAGCTAACGTTTCTTCTATTAAAACTTATGGAACAAAACTTTTAAAAATTGATCTAGGTTTAAGACGCGATTTTGAATTCCCTTTCATATTAGCGGATATTTCAACACCAATCATAGGCGCTTACTTTTTAGAGAAATTTGGTTTGTTAGTTGATATTAAGAATAGAGAAATTACTGATTCAACAACAAAATTGAAAGTTTCTAGATCATCTGGTTTTTGCGATATACATGGTGTCCCAGAACTCAACGTCAAGCCGAAACGGGGTGACAGGATTGATTGTAACCATCATGAGAAAAATCAGAAAAAAAATCTATCCCATGCAGTTTGAAAATTATGGGCATTTAAGAAAAACCTAGAAATTTGGTCAAACTGTAACCATTTTTCGGGTATTGTGGTTAATTTTTATTATTTTTGTTCATTTAAACTTTGGAACCTTAACCCTAAATAACATTTCTAGAACCTAAGTCAAAAATAATGACACAATTGCCCCAAGTTTCCTAGAATTAAGACTATTTGTTCAACTACGAATTTAAAATTTTTATAATTTGTCGACTTTGAAAGGCCCTCCTTTAAAAAAAATTTACTAAAGTGCCTTGGCAAGTGCCATTAAAAGTTCGAGCATTTAATCAGTATTGTAAAATGGTACAATACTTGTTAGTTTCATACTAAAAAAAAACGAGTAAAAAAATAGAAACCGCAAGTAACCCGATTTTTGCTAACCCATTTTACTCAGTTCGAATGTTTTTTATTCGCACAAGCTCTTGGTAGGTTCTTAATTTAACGGCAAAAGGATGAGGGAGATGGATAGTGGACATGTTTTACCAAAGTCAACAAAAGTAAGTAAAATTAATAAAATAATGAAAAATCTTAACCTAGTTTAGTTTAGGTTTATTGGAATAAAATTCAGATAGGGAAATAACATTTTTTGTTACAATAAATGTTCAAATTGTTTACATCAGCCTCAATACACGCCCTACATATTCTTAAAAAAGATCTACTTATTAGCCGGGCATATCCTCGAGAGTGGATGTCCTCAGCAGCTTGAGAAATTCGTTCACGCAGCTCGGCTACGCTCTCAATAGGCTTTGAATAAACTTTTTCTTTGAGAACGCCCCAATAAAAAAAAAATGCAGGGGATTTAAATCTGGGGAACGGTTTGGCCACGAGATAGTTCCTAAACGTCCAATCCACCTTCCCGGATATTCCTGGTCAAGGAAATCTCTTACTTGCACTAAGTAATGCGCTGGGCAGCCATCTTGTTGATACCACATGTGGCGACGATCTGTTAGTAAAGGATCACAACATAATGTTCTGCAAGCAGTTCCTGATCGGGAGCCACAGAAGTGGCCACCCAAACAGACAGCTGCTTGCAGAGGAGCCCCCGCCTAGGCACGTCAGGAGGCATCTATATGAACTGACGGACGAAGTCCAGAGGTTCATCAAGCAACCTCTGGACCCGTCAGCTTACCGACTGTGAATGCCGTTCTAGGCATACCGCCCCCGGACACAGACTAGACGGAGCTTCATCTGCCTCGAGAGACACGAACGACACTAGCTCAACTTCGCTCCGGCTACAGCAGCAGGTTAAACTGCTACCTGAGTAGATTGAATGAGGATGTGCCAAATGAGTGTCCGACATGCGGAGAGACCCCACATGACTCGAAACATCTCTTCGCATGCCTGGAAAACCCGACAACCCTAACGGCCTTGTCCCTGTGGACCAACCCTACAGAAGCTGCACGCTTCCTAGGGGTGCCGTTAGTGGAACTTGACGACAACGACTGAGATACCAACCGTCCTGGGCGGGGTTGTTGTAGCCGCTACAACAACAACAACGATCTGTTAGTGGTATGTCCTCTAACAAAGGTGGTAAATTTTCTCATAAAAAATGTAGGTAATTCGTGCCATTCAAGTTCTCAGGCAGGTCTAAAGGCCCAATAATTTTGCCGTTTAAGATTCCGGTCCACAGGTTTACTTTAAAGCGATACTGGGATCTGTCTTCTCGCATTAAATGTGGATTCGCCACATGCCAATCGTGAAAATTGTGTAAGTTTATGTAACCATCTTTTTTAAATGTAGATTCATCTGACCAGAGATTTTTTTGGATGAATTGGGGATTTTCATTATGCCTTTGTAGCATTGTTCTACAAAATGAAATGCTTTCAGGATAATCTCGAGGAACAAGACTTTGAACTCGTTGTACGTGAAACGGATGCATTTCGGCTCTTTGTAAAATACGATGTGCTGTGTTTTTGGGTATTCCCGTTCTTTCTTCAATTCCACCAACGGAAATACTTGGGTCATGTGCGACCTCTAGCAACACTTCTTCCTCGTAAGGAAAGCGAGCTCTACCTCCAGCCCGTATTTGATTCGGGAAATGGCCGCCCTTTGTGAGTGCGCATATTAACAAACTCGCGGTGATCCAGATAGCGCTCTAAATTTGGATATCTTTCCCGATAAAGTCTAGCGGCGGCACTTGCGTTGCATCTGCATTCTCCATAAATGAGGTGCATGTTCGCATATTCTTGTGAAGTGTAGCGCGTAGGCATGGTAGATAACAAGGATGCCAACACAAAAGTACAATTTCAAAAGAGAGAAGCCAAAGTTGCCGGTATGTAATCAACAAGTCCAATTCACAAAAATCCAAGTCCAAAAAGCCAAAGTTGTCAGTACTAAATCAACACAAGCGAATACGGAAAGGTGCGCGGTAGACGAATGAGCGAAACGTACTAACTGCAGTGTTGCTGTTACAGCGTCAGACTGGTGTCAGACTGGTAGCGCAGCCATTTGCTAGGTATGGCGACTGTATCTGTTTCATTCGCACGCGTTTAAACGACGCATCTCCGTCTCACTGCGTGGCGTCACTATCTGTCTCGCTCGCTCATGGCAAACATGTCCACTATCCTCTCTCTCTCTCATCATTTTGACGTAAAATTAAGAACCTACCAAGAGCTTGTGCGAATAAAAAACATTTGAACTGAGTAAAATGGGTTAGCAAAAATCGGGTTACATGAGGTTTTTATTTTTTTACTCGTTTTTTATTTTTTATTAAACTAACAAGTATTGTACCATTTTACAATCCTGATTAAATGCGCGAACTTTTAATGGCACTTGCCAAGGCACTTTAGTACATTTTTTTAAGGGAGGGCCTTTCAAAGTCGACAAATTATAAAAATTTTAAATTCATAGTTTAACAAATAGTCTTAATTCCAGAAAACTTGGGGCAATTGTGTAATTATTTTTGACTTAGGTTCTAGAAATGTTATTTAGGGTTAAGGTTCCAAAGTTTAAATGAACAAAGAAAATAAAAATTAACCACAATAACCGAAAAATGGTTACAGTTTGACCAAATTTCTAGGTTTTTTTAAATGCCCACACTTTTCAAACTGCATGGGATAGATTTTTTTTCTGATTTTTCTCATGATGGTTACAATCAATCCTGTCATCCCGTTTCGGCTTGACGTTGAGTTCTGGGACACCCTGTATTTTCAATAAGGATACCAATTACTGAAAATAAATTTTCTAAACTTTTAAATGATTTTCCTTCAATTACTTGTGAACCAGATTACCAGATTACACTAAACCAGTGCAACACCAAACGGTTCACAGAATTGAAACAAAAGGAGTCCTACATTTCTCCAAACCTAGTCGTGTTGATCCAATTAAATTTAAAATAGCAAAAACAGAATTTGAATTTTTAGTTAAAACAGGTATATGTAGGCCTTCACACTCTCACATTGCATCTCCTTTACATTTAGTTCCAAAAAAAGAACCAAATGATTGGAGACCTTGTGGAGATTACAGAAGACTTAATTGCATTACTATTCCAGATCGTTATCCGTTACCTCACATTCATGATTTGATTGTTGATTTAAAAAATAAACAAATTTTTTCCAAAATTGATCTTGTTCGTGCGTATCATCAAATACCGATGGTTGAAAAAGATATACATAAAACAGCAATTACTACACCATTTGGAATGTTTGAGTTCGTACGGATGCATTTTGATCTACGAAACAGTGCACAAACATTTCAACGTTTTATTAACGAAGTATTTTCTGGTTTGGAATTTGTATTTGTCTATATTGACGATATTCTTGTTACAAGTGATAATGAAGTTCAGCATATTGAGCATTTAAAATCTGTTTTTGAAAGTCTTGGAAAATATAACTTGAATATTAAACCTAGTAAATGCATTTTCGGAACAAGTAAATTAGATTTTCTTAGTTATGAAATTTCAAGTGAAGTAATAAAACCTTCTTTCGAAGGAGTTGAGGCAATAACTAATTTTGAAAAACCACTTTCAATAAATAAATTACAAAAATTTCTGGTATGGTGAATTATTACCATAGATATGTCAAAATGTTAGCAGCAGAACTTAGTCCTCTGCACGAAATGTTAACATTAGCAACTAAAAATAAACTTAAACAATTAAATTGG